GATTGGTAAGTCCATGTGATATGTATTTTATGAAAGACAATCATTTGAAAGTGTTTATGCGTTGCTTAAGTACATTCATGTGAAGGGTCAACCATGTAAACAAGGGAGAACAGAACCTGAGGTTCTGAAAAAAGTAAAAACCTTGTTTTAAAAACACTGTATTAATGTTTAATATGAGAGCTTTATAGAAAAAGAACCACCTTAGCACCATATAGAATATGGACCACTTTGTTTGCTGAGACTGGTCAGTGGAAACACCAACTCTGATGGAGTATTATCATGTTTGGACAAAGAATGAACTGATAGTGAGAAATGGACTCTGACTTTGGAGAGAGGCACTAGCGGTCACTGTGGCCCTCTGACCCTCACTCTGCCTGATCATTGTTGGAACTGCATTATGTGTTTATTATGTGTACATGTCTTATATTGTTTACCAGATATTTATATCATTCAGCTTCAAGCTAAACATTTTCCGAACACCACTAGTGACAATGTTATGAATCACATTAAAGCATCGTGGCACCTTTATAGTAGTCTGGGGAATGTGTTGATTGTGTTCCAGTACTCTTGTCATTAGATATACAAGCTAAGACAACATTCTTAATGTGCATCAGTTTGTTTTTAAGTTATCAAAGAATATGTCTGAGGACCAAAAGCACAAATCTTGTTGGTTCAAAAGATTTTATCACCATGAAACATTTTGTTATAGAAGTGCAAGAATAACCATCAGATTACTGACACATATAGAACTGTGACCAAACTGAAAACACTGATTTTGTTTTAACGTGTTTTCTTGACAAACTGATAAAAAATAAGACAACATGAAACTTACAGACAGTAAACATTCAGTAAAAAAGCTGATATGATATATTTGTTAATAAGGCTGGAGAAGAGGGCAGCTTTAGGATATATTGGTTTATTTAAGAAACTTTATTGAATTATTGACAGCAACTATTGTACATGAAATATATCACAAAGGATCCTGGTGTGAAATAATGTGTCCTCAACATGTTACAGTGTAACATGCCATTACTATGATGACTGAAAATGTGTTTTATGCTGACTGTATACATATGTTATGATGGGATGTTTTCTACAACTCTTTTGAATATGCTGGTTTACAAAAGTTGAATGGGACATTGCTGTTCCAGAGGTGGACCCTTAGTGTATAAAGTTAGAAAGTCGCTCCAAAACACCATCTGTCAAATATCCAATGTGAACATCACTGTATGCATCATGAAGGGACATTATGGACCTATTCATGATAGTTCTAAATAAATTATTCTATTTTGTAACGGCTTTTTCTTTATGGCTCATCTGAATATTTGATAATATAATGCCATGTTATAGAGAATAATATGTACTGGTAAATAAGGCAGGTGACTTCTGACATTGTGGTAAAGCTTTGAAAAACTGTATCAGACCCTGCTGACAACTATGTAAGAGCTGTTTGCATGGTCTGGAAGTCAAAGTGATTCAAGATGACACATGATCCTACAGAGCTGAAATGACCTGATTCTCTCAGCCACAACAGAGACATAATTAGGATGCATAAGAGCACGATTTACAGGGAAGAATTTGAAGAAGAACCTGATCCGGTGCAAGCATGCTGAAAAGCTGGGGGAGGGTTGGAGTGTGTGCCTGGGTAATCTCCTTATTTCAGGCTGGAAAACATTGATCTTAAGCAAAGCAAAGGACGCTGGAACAGAGGGTTTTAAGGGAGAGGGTTCCCTAACCAGAGGGTTTTAAGGGAACATAGTCAAGTCAAGGATACAGTTTGATAGCGTTGGGAATTTTTTTTTTAAAAAGACCCAAAGAATGACAACATAAATCCCATTGCTAGATTGTTAAATGTGCAAAAGTGTATGGAAAATGTATGCAAATTGCTTAACTTCTGTATCATTGAGTGGCATCACAATGATGTAAATCTTAGGTTTTCTCAGACGTATTCCCCAGCAAGAAATCAGGAACTCGTGTATTTTTTATAGCCCAACTTGTTTCTTCAATAAAACTAAAGCTCAGTTTTAAAAACTAAATATAACATTGCTTTGTACCAGTTTGAATAATTCTGTTTTGTAAATTTAAATGATGGTAATTATTCACACTCAATGCTACTCAATTCACTGTGAAGAGGCACACAGAATAATCTTCTGTTCATACACAAAGATGCACAGACAAGGCGTCACATCAACAAATCTGTTACATTTTTACATTTCGGTTCAGTATCTCCTCATGGGAGCGACTTACACAGTGCGTCCTCATTCTGACGACGCTTGTTGGAGTTAATCAGAGCACAATTGCGACACAGCTAACTCAGCCTGACTGCTGTTTTCAAAATGAGGACAAAATCATGATGTATGATGGGAAATGAAATGGGATGTCATAGCTTCTAAAAAGTTTAAGAAGTGCTCTGATATTATGGCATTACATGCACAAGTCACATATCGCTTAGTATGCAGTCAGTATAGGCTTCTTCTTCATTTTTAACTAACCAGCCGTCTCTGGACCTTTGCCATGGTATTTGTCCATAATAAATTGCCACCGCCACCCAAAATGTCATGGGCGGGGTTACAATGCAAAAAGGTTAAAGGATTTGGTCTTTGCTCTCTGATATGCTTTATAGTCTTAACGCTGCAGCATTTTACACTCTCTGTTGTGAAATAACAAAACTAAAAAGATAGACGATGGATCCCCCTACACTGCAGAAATAAATTGTTCAATCAAGCAGCTCCTTGTCTAATCCTCTGGCATCAACAGCCATACCGAATAGATCCACATCCCCAGACCACATCTTTGGAAATGATTGCCAAACTGATAGTCCTGGAAAGTTAAAAGGGCATGTACAATCTGGGAGGAACGTAAACATCAAAAGGCCAGACAGCTAAAGATTACCCTGAATGTCCAAAATGCCTCAACTGTGAAAAGACTTTTGGAAAGACTAAACATCAGCATCAGACACATACGTATCAATGGATGAGGCAAAGGCTGTTACTCCATTGCAAACACCCTCTCCTGAACCGAGCTGTCAAAGCGTACAGTGCAATACACAAAGCTGCAACAAAAGAAGACTGTAGCCGTATTGCTCATGCAGCAACACCTGCATGCAGACTTGATTTTTCCTCTGCAGAAGTTCAGATTCCTTCCATGCTGTGTTTATTTCCAACTTTCTTGCATTGAAGAAATAAATGATCATGTGCTAAATGAATGTGTTCACCCATAACAGCAGTATCAAGGCTTGGGGGGGGAAATATATATATATATATATATACTGTATAATATACTGTATATATACATATATAGACCAGCTGTATGTGCAGTAAAAGCAGGCTTTTGTTTTTTTCTGATTACCTTTCTTGCCAAATTCAATAACCAGATTTGGAGATCGAGTGACATGAGCCCTCTTATGGGGAAACATATAAAATAAAATAAATGTTTAATGATTATTTGAGTGGATGTCAGCCAAGAAAGTAGTTAAAGTGATTCATTTTATGTCGTGGATGTCGACTAATAGTTGAATGCAGCTTGTTCCTGGACAAAAGGCCATTGCAGTCAAAGTCTCATCCTAAAGAGTCCTGTTCTCCCATCAGCTGGTGGGACAGACCACATTGGGAACTTAGCCAAAGGCAGGAAATAACTTTTGAATGTGGGTTATTGACACTCTACATGCAGATATTTTCGGGAACAGCATGAGCTAAAAGAAAAAATATATAGTCCTTCTATCTGTGTATGGGAGAAGTGTGACTTTTGCCCTTTGATAATTATCAACCATTCACACATTCCTTTCTCTTGAGCTCAGGGTGAGTATGCACATCCTTGGGGTGTTCCTCGGCTGCTTCCCAGTCATTACCATTGCAAAAATACAAATTAGCGGTCACTGACGGAGAGCAGCTGATCAACCTGGAATACACTATAGGTTAAACAAATGGGTCAATCACTCAAACAGCCTTCAGTGATTGCAGTATGTGAGAAATAAATCAGCACTTTTTAACATCTATCATCAATGTCTAAATAGTTTGCATAACAAGTGATTCAAATCTGATATCTGTATTTAATCGCCATATACAACAACCCCATTTGCCTTTACTAACTGTGGGTGTCTCTAATTTTGCATCATTCTCAGCACAAAGAGTGATAGCCTGCACATCTTCCAGCGCAGACTGAAAACTCATCTCTTTCGACTCCACCTCGAGCGATAGAATTACTAACAAATAACTGCTAACAGAGCACTTATATACTAATAAAGGACTGGCTTATCTATAGCCAGTTGAGTAGCACTTGAAATGTTTGGCTCTATGAAACCTGATGTACTTATATGATTCTGTTTTCTTCAAGGTTGTGTCTTCCTGGTCGAATGTACTTATTGTAAGTCGCTTTGGATAAAAGCGTCAGCTAAATGCAATGTAATGTAAAAATGTATATACTGTGTCCCACATTTTAGCCGTGTTAGCTTGTGTATGCTGTTCATCATGTACAATTAGATAGGTGTCTCCCTGTATGCACCTTCTAGAAACTTTATTTTAGGATGCAAGATTTTATTTTATTCAACTTCCTTTGATACAGTATGTCTAGGTTTTTCACAAAGGTTTACTAGGCCTCTCACACCGCTTTTTATCATCAGCCATGCCACTTCTAATACCACAAAGAAAAAAGAAAAAAGTGTTATGGGTTATACTGCTAATTGCATTATACATACAATCTTGACAATATTAATATTTTCTGGACTGATGTCAAAGGTGTATGTACATTCTAAATGGTTTCTAGCATTTTAAAATATATGAGCCCATTTAAAAGCACGATTGGTTATATTACAGTTAATTCTGATGTATTTCTCAGGTTTCTGTTTAATAATAATAATAATGTGCCATTAGTGTTCATGACACCGACCCCACCTTTAAGGGGGGAGGAAATTAGACTGAGGCTGTCTGGTGGCCCCATGCTGGCAGCCTGTGTCTTTAAGGAGCCTGTAAAGAGGGCGTGTTCAAACACACTACCGAGGCAGGAGGCAGGCATTGTGCTGAGTTATTGGCTTCAGAGTAGCAGCAGCAGCATCGCTTCTGAGGATGCAGTGAGAGCATCAGTAACGTTTCTAAAAATAAAAAAAGATAGATCTTTCTGTCGATCAGTTCCGTGGATTTCTCCAGTTTGATCCGAGCGGTTTACGTTTGCTTTCGGTTGCTGAACCCCTTTGTCAACCTGCTGGGGGCCTGAAAGTGAAGCAGCACCCGGCTTTATGAATGGGGATGCTCGGTAAGTGCATGCGCTTTTATGTTTGTACTTTCACTAACCACATAAAATGCACCTTTTTATTTGTTTATACAGCTCAAATATGTATTTAACAGAGCTGCTTTATTTATCGGTTCAGTAGAGCGCACGGTGCGCGAGGCAGCTGATGCTTTTGTGGTCAGCTACTTATTGTTCTCCTGCCATTGACCCACCCCGAATCACAGCTTTATTGTAATGAGAGTGAATGACTAGACTGATAAATGCAAGAGGGCTGTCAAATGGACACTTAAGAAGACTTATTTCTAGTCCATGTAGCAGTTATTTGTGGGTAGAGTCTACCGTGGCCTTTGTGTCTGAAACCCCCTCAACAGTAACATGAATATGTCCATAAAATTAGCTTACCTGAGAATGCTTTGTAGCTATAATTAAAGCATTGGTTTCTTACGTTAGCTTTTCACATTTCACTAAGCTAGAACGCTCTCAAAGGCCTCATATAGACAGAAGTGAGCCTCTAAATACTCGAAACTAGGCCATAAATATATTTGGTGACACTTTGCTTTTCAGTTCATATTAAGTGTATTAAACGTGTATTCTTCCCAATACTGACACTACTTGTAAACATATGTTTTTTGTAAACTGAGAATGAGTTTATTTGGCCTTCATGTTTGTTGTTCTTAGTTTACTTGATCAGGTGACTAAAAAACGAAATATCCCACTGCACACTTTGGCATGTCAGGCAGTGCACGCCTGTCCTGTTTGTCCAGTTCATTACACACATAACCCAAAGCCTGTTTTAGTTGGCAGGGCCTTTCACAGGATGGCATCTTTTGAGCACATTGACTGGATAATAAGGTGATAGGCCTCAGGTCTGTAGGCCTTGGCCGACATACTGATAAGAGCTCCTCACTCAGCAATTGTTTGAGTAGATAATATTATCTGATGTCTCTTCTTGTGAGGCCATCCGGGTGGCTTTCTTTGTTTTCACGGGTTAATGTGACATCTGTACCGTCTAATCCCAAACACGCAGAGGGCTTTCGTGAGATGTCAAATATTTCTGCCTGGACGATGATGGATTCAGGTTGATGACACAGCAACAACCCAACCTCCTCAGCAAGATTGAAGTGTCACAGGGTTAGCAGGTTTAGCTTTTCCCCAGAGCCAAGTGCTTTTGAAATGCCTTTTGAGAACAGGCGACACATTTCTCAGCCAGCCTGCACAAGTGTCTAATTGCCTACAGGAGACATGTGTTTAGTGCCCGAAGGTGAAAGTTATCCTTCCTCCGTGTGGTGTTGGACACGGTGCCAACCACTCTGGTATTGGCCACAGCACACAGTGTAGACAGCTTTTGCTGGCTCACATCCCAGAACACAACCTGCTCAGGATTCAGTTTACTAACTTGTTTTTTGAGATAATCACTGTCTCAAAATCCTTTTGCGGTGGGGCTGAAGTGCAACTTCAGTGTGTTATTTGTGGCCACTGAGTGTATGGTCCAGCACCCATGTTTGAACATGTCGTTGTAGTTTGTGTGCTCATTTGTGGCAATGTGTGTGTCCTGTCCAGCCCCTTCACATTCCAGGAAATGCCAATATAAACTGTTTTTTTTTTCTTCCCTGGAATGCCTCTGAGGATGGTGATAGTAAACCACAGGATTATTATAGAGGGCATGACAGTTGCTTTTGAAGGATGTGTAGCATAAGTATCATGTTGGGTGGTTGTCTTTTCTCTTAGTTACTACCTGCCTGCAAATGTTACAGAAAATCCTTAGTGGTAAATGTACCAGTTGTTGAAAATGTACAGTCTCTCAATACATCATTTATGGTGTGACTTGTGACAAAAAGCAACAGTTCATTAATTTGCGGCCACCTACCTTTTTATAACCTAGTATTCAAACATCAAATTCTATGGGCGTCTCATATTTCAGTGTCTGAATGCTGTGTTTGTTCCTGTGTCGTTTGTTTAGTGCCATTGTTTTCTGGTCTGTTCCAGCATGCTTTGCTTTGTTTGCTTGGCTGCAGTTGGTACTGTGACCCAGAGGAAATGTTTATTCTTCTCTGCCATCCTGTTTCATTATTGTTGGATGTAGTTTATATTAGCATAGCGGTAGACAATGTCACTGCACAAAATGTAATGATGATTTTTGTCACTACCTGAACTGCTTTTGATTTGTGTTAATCCAATAATTGTATATTAAACCTTGAGAGGTATCCACTTCACAGTACACTTATTATCCACTCGGAGACAGCCACAATGCAAAAGTCAAGTGGAAACTTGTACTAAAAAAACAAACACCGAAGAGCCCTCCACTTTTTGTTAGCAGCAGCTTTGGCGTACTTTCAGTATGTGCTTTTCTGTTGTCTGACCCCTATATTTATATAGCACTTTAAAGCAAGATTCTCTGCATCCCATAAGTTCTCTGCATTCTTTCCATAGAGAAGCACAGGTTTCCACTGGAGCGTTTCAAATTGTAACCTCACTACTTCTCTGCAGCTCTTAAGAGACACCTGGTTGGTCGGTGACAGTCTGTCCTGGGTGACGATAGGGACACCTGGGCCTGAGGTCGAATCTGTCATCATCTGTGACTCGGCTTCAATATCTGCTGTAGAGTTAAGTTCCGGTGTGTTCAGCGTCAAGTCAATAAAGTTGAGGCGCTCCATGATATGATGCATGTTCCATTTAGTTGAACACACATTCCCAGCACTAGCCCACAGCACTGAAGGTTAATGGAGATATGAGCTGTGTTTGTTTGGTTAGCCCGTCAGTAATACTGTATGATGGAGGACATGGAGGCCTTGTTTACGCTATGAGTGGCCAGGAAGGGCAGGCTGAGTAGATTTCCGGAGAGATCGGAGGGTTTGCCGCCTCATTTTCTCCCTTTCCTTCCTGTGGACGTACCCCATGCTAACACATTTTTCTATCATATTAAGCTGTGTTGTACCAGTCTAATATGTACTTTTGAAAAGCATGCTGCTGTGTCGAGGTTAGGGTTACAGTTAACAGTTAAGCCACTTATCTCAGTGGTAATTTTGTCAGATTGGTGCAATTCTGTGAATACCCATTTTAAAAGTGCTCAGGTGTGTTTTGTAGTGACTGGGGGCAACTACTAATGACATGGAGCAAGATGTTAACCTTACAGGCTCAGCTGGATGAGAATAATAAAGCTAGGAAGGTTTTTAGCCATGTGTTATTGCCAAATACATTCAAAACTAGAAGGGCACTCAGAGAGCATAGACACTGCCAAGGCCTTTCCCATAAATAGTAAATTCACTACATTTATATAAAACGCTTTTGTAGTCTATCCGACCACTACAAAGCGCTTTTACAACTAAAGGCAGCATTCACCTATTCACACACATTTGTACTAGGTGCCACCTGCTCATCATCAGGAAAGATTACCATCTACAAGCACTCGCATATCAAGGGGTCAAACCACTGATGTTCCATTGGTGGACAACAACGCTGCCTGCTGTGCCGTCCAATAAACAAAATATAGTGCATAAACCCAGATTCAGATTAAACACTTCTTTCATCCTACTGACAAACAGACTAAGAAAACCAAACTGAAACATAACCTCCTCCAAACTAATAATAATAAGTGTTTATTTTCTTGTCAACTTTCATTCTCTCTGATTATGTTGAGATATTAACTTCTGGATTGGAGCCTCCACTTGTATTCAGATGCCATGCCCAGTACACAGATGACGTTGATGTCGAGCCATGCTGGTTGCCATTTCAGTCCCATGTTTGGGACTTTAGTTCTGCTCAGAGACTACAGGGAATGGACGATAGTGTTTGTGTAGAAAAAGGCATTGTAGATTTAGGAAAATGATGTGTAGCAGTTTTTTTTACACCACAACAGAACACTTTACATTCGTCAAGGCACTGATATTGAGTATGGCATTCTTGTCTGTCACCCGCTCTTTGTGTCTGTAATAAAAGCTGTCAGTTTCACCAAAGCCAAGGATGGACAGAAAGAGATGGAGTGTTTTGTCTGGAGGCTGTGTCAGCTGAAACTGTAAAAGAGACGAGTCCTCTCCTCTTCAGTTTCTCAGGTCAGCTAGCACACATTTGAGCTAAACTGCTAAAGGTGTAATCATTGCCAGGAACCCTTTCATCAGTTGTGGGCTCTTTTGAAAGTGTCATCATACGTCTCTTTTCTTCCTTTCTTTTTTAACTCTTCTGACCTGCTCTTAAAGACAGAATTGTATAGTTGCCCTATTGATGATGTGGCTTCAGATCCAACACAGATAATATAAAACTGTTTAGTTGTACATTTATCGACCATATTCAGAATTCTATTTTTAAACACTGCTGATTTCGTATGAGTTTGATCTTCTAGCTCAAGTTGCTTACCTCAAATGCTTTACTCACTGATCTAAGGATAGCAACAGATGTAGTTCTCATTGATATGAATGCCAATTCAAAAATCCTAGGGACACTTTTATTAGCAGGGAAGCTCTAAAAATCTGTTGTGCTTTGATCTGTTGTGCAAAGCAGAGTCTCCTGCTGGGTGATGTGTGTCATTAGCATATCAGACCGCTTCACACTAGCTTGCCAGGTATTATTAGGGAGGGCAAACACTGATATGTGAGCTTTTTGCCGTCTGTGTTTCAGAAATACACACATGGGCTTCTTCATTCTATCTGCAAGTAATATATTGGTGTTTATTTAATCTTCTTATAATTAAGGATGAATCTCTCCTTCCTTATTTGATTATATTTCTATCCAGGGCTGCAACTAAAACTTAAATTCATTATGTCTCTGTCAGTTATCGAGTCAATAAATGTATGAGGTTTTTTTTTTAAATAATTAACTTCTTCCCAGAGCCTTCTGTGGTGGCTTAAATGTCTTATTTTGTTGGATAAAAAAAAAGATTCCCCAAATATTCAGTTTTATAATTAATTATCCTCTCAAAAACCATTTTGATATTTTTGCTTTAAAATGTTGTAAATATTTTATTTGATACATTTATTTTTAAACTGGATTAAGATTGGTATAAAATATTTGACCACAAAAAACCCAAAGCCAACACTTGCAGGCTAAGGGTGGTCTGAATTTCAAAATTGTACAGATTTTAGATTTGCCTTGCTCTTTAGACCACGGAGGATTTGCACTTTGATCAAAATGAGCCCTTGGCTTGCTTGCTGTGTTGGAAGTCCATGGTGGAGAGAGCCAGGGAAATGTATTGGCGGGGCACGATGCCACTTTTCAGATAGCCTATAGGTCAACGACTTGATATGAATCAAAACATAGCAAGCAAATGGTATGCCATCTAGAATTCCCTAAAGTGCACCGTTTAAGCAACAGCTAAATCTGGCTTTTATGCAAGCAATACAGATGTATTTGTAATGTTTACTCTCATTGCTTTATTTACCTCGGAGGGCAGCATCAGCTTTATGTCTCTTGTTCCCGGTCTGTCTGATTCAGAGATAATGTGATTTCCAATGTTTGTCCTTGGGCTGCTCCTTTTCTAAATGAGACTTTCAGCCGCACTAACTGAGTTGCATGGCAGATACCTACTTCTACAGGCCATTTGTCAACTTAATTACTGGAACATGTGTGTGGGTATGTGTGCTCGCCAATTACTGAACAGTAACTCTTGGTTGTGTTGCTCTTAAACATATGGAAATGAACGAGAGTTTAATGAACAAATGGGGCATTTACAAATGCTAAGGCCATCAGTGTTTTACAAGCAGAGCAGTTTAAGAAGTTAGTGAGACGGATGCTCTTCAACTTATTTGGGTGCATGTGGACTCCAACCCCCCAATGTCTTTTCACCCTCAGGTCATGTGGTTGTCCATCCAGGTCACTGACTTTAAATGAGGCAGACACAAAGCCCCCATCGCTGTAGCAGCACCCCTCCCCAGACTGTAGAATACACACTGAACAAGTTAAACACAAAGAAGATGAATCAATACTCAATTAGGGAAACGGTCCATTAGTGGTGTTGGAGTGTATGTCTGTGAGTGATCTCTTGTGAGGGTGTGAGAGAATTGACAGGAAACTAACATTTGTCTTAAACACAAAGTATCCAGGTTAAACATTAGTCTGGTGTCTCGCATATCAATTCAATCTTCTGACGAGGTGTGCTGTTAGCTAAGTTGTACAACTTTAATCGATGCATGTAGACAGTATAAGTGATTTTGTGTCATGGCTTAAGCTTGGTATTTTCACTTCCTGTGATGTAGCATTTCTCTGAAGTGTTTATAAATGACTGCTGCATTTCCCTTGAGATCCAAAACCCAGGTTGCCGTCTGATTTAGTGCTGCCTCTTTTCACCCCGCTCAGTAAAAGAACCCATTTCTGCGTAACTCCTTCTTGCGTTATATCTGTGCTTTTCCCTCTGAAGAAGTGGGTGATAGTATTTTATCTTCCCACAAAGTAGCAGCTATAACTGTATAATATATATATATAAGCAGTTTAGAACCCTCCTTAGACCCTGGCTAGGTATTTATATTGATAATTGAGTTATGTGATCTATAAACAGAGCTAACATTACATTTCCCATGACATAAATACATTTGGGGGGAAATGGGTTGGAATATCATTTACTTGAACAGATGTGAAAAGATGAGAGAAGTGAGGCAGCACTGGCGATGGGTTGGAATCGTTCCCAGTGTGCTCAAGTTTATCACAGTGTGTAGACATTCATGCACTGCTGCTTTTTACTCAGAAGTTTAGAAATACCACATCCACACACCAAGACTGCTCAGATTCATTTGTTATCCAAAGGGATCAAGGTCTGTAGGTCAGTGTGGAGTGTGTGTAAACGTTTTGCAGTCAAAGTGAAAAGATGCAGATGTGCCTCTTAGCTCTTCCTGTCTGTTTCTGTCCCACATTCTCTGTCTCCACTGGGTCTTCTGCTGCAGCCAGACCTTCAGTGTTGTGAAAGTCTGTTTATAAAGTCAATCCTCCCGCTGTGACCCCGTAGTTCCCACGCTAACTGCTGCCTTCTCAGGCCCTTTTTCACTTTTTCGTTCACATGTACGCTCACACGTGCATGCACACACACTTTCACAAAGATGTAAAGATCAGATAGATGCTGCTGCTAAAGGCCTTTGCCTGGTTTAGATTTAGCTGATGAACGTTCTGTCTGGTGGTCTGTAACACATGTCTGCACCCATGTCCCTGCAATGGGCACTGTTAAAGCTTTCCAGCCTGATCCTGGCCCAGGGGAGTGAGATGGAGGAGTGGGAGTCGGGCTTTCACCGTCATCCTTCGTTTCATCTGCTGGTTGTTTTTGCTTGCCTGTGTATGCCACCCAGAAGCTAACTAGCCAGAAAAAAAGGTTGTTTGTTGGCTGGGTGTGAAATATTTCCATCATTATTTCCCCAAAACAAATCGTTACACGCAGCTTCAATAATAAACATGTTTCTTCATCTTGTGTGTGTGTTTTGGCACAACCGTTTGAGTTCATGGAAAGTTTTCACATGGCGAGTCAAAAACGCTGTTATCTCAAATGTATATGTTTCTCTAACTATAGATACATTTATTTCCTTGCCCAATGTAGTGTAACATTTATATATTTGTATGAATTCCCATTTTCACTTATACAAATATATACAACATGGATGAAGGAGTGAAAACATAGCAGACATCCCATTCAAAGGGTGCATTGTACAAGCTCTGGGTTGACACAGAAGGAGGCCATGTGTTGCATGCTTGCATGAAGCCTCAAGCCTTCCGCAGCCCCTGACAGGAAACACTCTGCTTGCAGGAGGGTGTTTCCATGGAAACCAAAGCAGGTGAGGGCATTAACAGGAAGAAGAGTACGCTCAGCTGGCAAAGACAGGGGTTGGGTGGGGGGTGGAGACTGAAGAATGAGGTCAGCGCACTTAAAAGCCTGTCACATTAAACACCCTAAATCTCCCAACGGCTCTACTACCAAAAACAACTCTTGACTTAAATATATTTTGAAAGCTTGTCTGTGAGAAATCCAAAGCCAAGGTTAAGGTGCTGACTTTTCATGATATTCCTGCGTCAGCGTGGGCAAACAGAAAAATGCACTGTGCGAGCCAGAGAGGTGCACTGCACAGTGCCGATAGCAAGGTAAGCGCTTTCTTTAGGCCTGCTTGCGGTAACCATAGAGACTTTCCACTCACAAATGATATGCATGTGTGTCTGATGTCTGTCAGTAGAAACGGCTTGCACTTCATTTTTGCAGACCACCATGACAGTGCTCTTTGTATGTGTGTTTTATGAGCTGGGGATTTATAGCTAATTAGACTTCCTGCTCCTGTCCTCCAGTGCAGCACCTGCAGAAATGGCAGACTGCTGTCAGCCTGCGGTGAGGCTTCTCTGTCTCCGCTGCATGTTTCAATAATGCAGGGACACGGTTTCTATCAGCTGTCAGTAAGCTAGCTTCATAGGCTTATACACCATTGTCTTGGAAGAAGAAAATGGCTAGGGACTCATGTCTCGGATCACAATTGCATCTTCCTTTTGTCAAACAATGGCGAATGTTGAATAACATATTCGATTGTGAGGGGTATATTTCTTATTGTATAATTTACTTTATCTGTGACTGCAAGATTAGCTTTTAGTCATACTTTTATTGCCAAAGTTGAGCTTCGCACCAGAAAAATCCCTGGCAGCCCCCAGCTATCCTTTTCTGATCCATCTTGGTCTGTGGTTGGTGTTTTGCTCTCAATTATAATGCAGTCAAAGCAGAATCCTGTGGTGCTCCTCATGTCCTGAGTGCATTTCAGAGGTCATCTCACAGAGATGTTGGAAGAGTGCTGCTTATCATTATGGACTTGCATAATTGGTAGCTTCAGCTCTTGTAATTAGTGGAACATGAGATTCTTAGAAATGTTTATATTTACTTGATGGGATTAAAACGCTTGGTGTGAATATTCTATACAATGTTATGTTGATGACTTTTTATTATTATACATGTAAGGTTATTTTTTAATATATGTTTCTTCTTGATATTCGTAAATATGTTTGTCATGGAGGTGCTACTGAACAGCATGTCCCCCTTTTTAATTGTGCATAACATTTTGGCAGATGTGTTTACTTCAAATGTCTTTTTTTTGTTTAGAATTTAAGGACACGTTTATTTTGATACAATTAACACATTTAATTAATTATATTCTAATCTTTCAGGTTCCCACGCTGACTGCAATTGAGGAGAGTCAACTATCAGCCCAACGTCTCTCATAAGGACTATATCAAAGACTTGGAAGCTTTTCTCTGACTCCAAAAACCAAACTAATCGGTCACCATGCCGATCCTCAAACAGCTGGTGTCTGGCACCTCCCAGACCAAGCGTCGCATGGACCTGACCCGGGAGATGATCAGTGCCCCGCTGGGAGACTTCCGCCACACCATGCATGTGGGCCGCAGTGGCGATGCGTTCGGAGACACCTCGTTCCTCAGCACCCGCTCAGGAGAACCCCCCCCTGAGAGCAGTTCCCTGCCCCGCTCCCCTCGGCCCAGCCTCCTGTCTCGCACCTTCAGGAGTAGCAAGCGCTCCCAATCTGTAAACAGGGTCGACCAGCAGAGGGATATCCTGGACACTCCTGGAGGGTCACCCACTTATGTGAAGAACGCCATGTCTCTGCCCTTTCTCAACGATGAGGACAGAGGGGACAGTTTGGTGGCAAAGAGTTTGTCCTCGAGTCCTATAAAGCATTACGTGGAGGGGGACGGGAGGGGCGGAGCTGCAGCTTCTCACTTTCTTGAGCTGGAAGAGAAAAGCTTCGGGGAGCTGACAGAGCTACCAGAGAGCCCCTACCACTACGGCGGTGGAATGAAGCACGCTGAGTCGGTGATGTCTTTCCATCTGGACCTGGGACCCTCCATGCTGGGGGACATCCTCGGGGTGATGGAGAAGGAGGATGACGATCTAGGCTACGAGGAAGGCAAGAGCAGCGAGGGCCGCGCCTCACCGCCTCTCAGCATCCACGGTGAGGAGGAAGATAGCGTGGTGGGAGAGAAAGATGGGGATGGGGAAGCAGGGGAGGAGATGGAGGAAGAGGAAATGAAGCACCAGGCCTCTCTGCAACCAGCCAGCTCTGTAGATCTAGGGCCAGAGCATGGAGGTCCCTACACCCCAGAGTACACCCCCGAAACTCGCCCCAAACACTTGCAGCATCTGGACAGCTGCTCCATGTCCAGCTCTGGCTCTGCGGCCCTGGATGAGAAACCAAACAGCCAGACGTACGCAGGCGATACAGACAGCGCCACCTTCAGTGCCCCGCCAGAGGAGGAGAGCAACTTCTCATCTTTCATGGAGGATGAGGACGATGAGATCCGCTTGTGAGACTGAAAAAAAAATAAGGACACGGCTCTGGAAGAGGTTTATGTGAAACTAGCAAGTCCTTTGACAGTGTGGATTTGCACTTGAACAGAAATAAGACACTTTCGTCTGAAGGGTAATGTGGGAATGGGACTGTGAAAAAGAGGGAGAACTATTACTTTGTAGGTCCGCAAGGAGAGAGTGACTGCTTCTTTTGAAAGAGCCCATCTGTCAGAGAGCGTTACCCTCCACTGTCAATCCGTCTCTACCTTTTGAACACTGAGGGAACTGACATGGAAGAACAGCCACTCTGAATATGGAACATTCCAGAAGTAAGCAGGGAGTGAAAGGAGTTGGAAAGAAACTTTTGGGGAAAACACTTTCCATAACTAAAGCTCAGCTCATGCCTTCTGTCTCTTCCCTCTCAGGTGCTTTTCAAATTTGGTTTGTCTCTCTTCTTCTTCTTCATGTTGTTGTGTTTTCTCTCACTGACTGTGGGACATCATGAGGCCTGAGCTGAACAGAGGGCCTCTGTCACCACAGGATTACTGCTGGTGATCTTGTCACAATAAAGGTGGCTGTGTTTGTCACTGGAGTGTGAAGCCCTGCCTTGAGCTCCTTTCATCTGAAAATATTATAGTAAAGTGCCATAGATCTGTCAAGAGCTTTTTTCCCTTATGTAACTCTGGGTCCTTGTGACACTGCTGTAAAGCTGAACCACAAAGCCCAGACCCCAAATGATCTTCTGTTTTTAATTCACAGGCTTAGCCTCTGTGTAATTAAAGAAAAGCAGGGTTATAAATGAATTTAGATACATTGGCCTGTATTAACTATAAAGAATTGTGTTACTACAGGAAGCCAAAGGTGTGAAGAGGGATTGTACACTTTGTTGTCCCTTTCCACTGAGCAGATTATATCCTGAAGACATCATAATTATGAATTTATAGTTTTCTGATAACTGACACAAATTAGCTTCCTCCTTCTGACTAATGTTTCCTTTCAAGTTGAAACTGAAAAGAGTTTGGTAACCACTTCCTTCCTTGTTTTCATGCGTCCATGCAGCTACAGTGGTTCAACTGAATTGTGTAAATGATCTTGATTAGTTCAGCGGCTGCCTTACTGTTTCCACTACTACTCATGGTGATGGATTTAAGGTTTGTTTAAAATCAGTGCATCAGGCACAATTTAACCAGACACTACTAGTATTTGGTGTTTGTTTTATCTTTGAAAAAAATGCTTTGTTATTTACGTTTATATGTGGATGAAAAGGAAAGACACAGCTAGCGATAGATGCAAGGGGATAAAAAAAAACTCTATTTTTATGCAAGTTGCATAGTCATTGCAGCTTGACTGTATCTCTTGCATCATTAAAAGCCACGGCCAGAAGTATCGAGGCTCAGTTGCACTGATTGATTTCACTGCCTTAACTGAAACTGACAGATGTGCCAAATCCCAATTTTCTAGCTAAAAATAATTTTACTTGTGAAGCCCACTTTTGGGAGAGCCTGTCAAATCTGTCTGTCTTTGCTTCTCTATGTGGGTAATCACTGTGGACATTTAAGTGGAAGGCAGAGCTCATAGATTGAAAAAATAAAGATGTGTTCCTGGTTGTGTCGAATCATGAAGGGGAGCGAGTAAAATAAATAATTTGTATAACTGGATATTTATATTTCCAATCACTCAAACACTACATAATATATTCAGGTCATTTCTAGGGTTAACAACCTTGTGCGAATGGGGCGTTGTCTGTGTAATGTGTATTATGCCTTCCTTTGTTTGATACCTGTTTCTTCTGTGTTGTCGAAAATAACCTATATTTTTCAATAAAATAAATCCTGAACGTCTTTCTTTTCCTGCCACTTCTTTTATAACCAATGTGTCTCAGTGAATCAGAACATAATACAGTTGAAGTGCTACTCATTCAGCAACGTTAACAAAGGAATTCCTTGACTGCCTTCGCCATTTCCTACCACAATTCGTTGATTCCCCCAGCAGAGGAAGGAAGGAAGCAATTGAAGCCTAGTTGGAAGTGTCTCTGAAGTATCGGCTATACAAGCTGAGAAGCTGTGATGACTCATGAGTAAATGTGTGTGTGTGTGTGAAATTAAGTTCAGAGCACATCTGACTGATACCTTCATGGAGCATGGCTACATCAAAGCAGACAATGGAAAGGTGAATTGAGAATGGAGAATATTTTTCATATACAGTGAGGATGGGTGATCCTTCTCTCCATGCTGATTGGAGGACGGAATATTCTGGCTGTCAGGTAAGATCCCACTTATCATCCCAGACTTAAAACTGTTCTGTCACTTTTGATTTTACTTTTCGTTTTTCACACGCTAGTAAAACCCCTCACGGTAAGGTCAAAGACCAAAGCGCTCTGTTTTGTTAACACTCGCTGCAGACAGTTCAATCTCTCACCCCTGCACCATCCCTCCACATTAAAACTGATTGCTGTGCAAACACAGCCTCATTCTTCTTTGGTGTCCTTTTTTTCAATTCAATCTTTCATCTCCACTTCAGGGGATCTTTAATCTCCTTCCACTTTCAGTTTTTCACAGTCACATTACACCATCGTCCAATCTGCCAGGAGCCTAGACAAAGACATTATTCTTACACTTGTGGTAAAAACAGGCCATTTATATTGATTGCTGTGTATTGATCCTACTTTTCTCTGTCTGAACGAAGTCATTATTCTTTTTAGAGTTTTTTTCCTGTGTCTTTGAGAGGGAAATACTTAATTCTAATAGTCACCACTTTTGTGTTGGTTTCGAAAACTCTTTTTTTTAATCACCCCTAACTGAATAATTCATCTTGTGCTGATGATCCAACATCCAGGCTGTTACTCACTTTGTCTAAATCTTGTTATCTACTGCCACCTAGTGGTTGTACGAGACTCACATCTGGTGATGGGTGTGTCACTGAAATGGCTGTTAGACTGGATTTGTAAATTAATCTTCCCTCTCTCATCTTCTATTATCTTGTACTCCAAAAGATCATTAGAAAAAAAGATTTTTGGAATTTTATTTGAAAAATGTTTCAGTGCTATGCCCACATTTCAGTGTCTACATAAAAACTCATCACTAAGACTGAAACATTTGATTATTTGTGGCAAGAGGCACGGTCTGAACACAACTGTTGACATTGCCCTCTACATTTAAACTTGATACCGGAGACAGCAGATTTGTTCAGGAGGCTCAGCTCCCCCCTCCCCCTATAGAAAGTCATTGTAACTGGAGTCTGCCTTGCAGCTGTTTCTCCCTCTCAAACACGCTGGATGTAGTTTCTCATGTGCTTCAGAGGCTGTCAAATGTCATTTCCCTTTGGTTTCCAAATCACATTTTCTAACTCGAGCCGCCAATGGGAGGCGCTCATTGCCTTTAGGTTTATTAGTCAGAATCCCCTGCCTGGACCCACAACCTTTTCCGCCAAATTCCATCAGCAGACTTGCAGCTCCTCCAGGAGGCCGACGGCATGCTGAAATCTGGAAAGTATTAAACAACCTGCTGGTATAGGGGACTGGGGAAGGGTAGGTGGTGGGGGGTGGATGAAGGAGGGAGAGAGGGGAAGTAAAAAGTGGGGGATGGGGGAGAAAAGGAACAGAATACAAAATTGTTCATACACCCACCGCCCTTTGCCTGGCTCTGTGCCCTTTCCTCTCCCTCCCTCCCTCCCTCCCACACACACACACACACACACACACACACACACACACACACACACACACACACACAAGCGTGTGAGCTTCCCCCCAAACAATCCAGACCACTCCCCAAGCAGTTCCAGCATTTTTCTTTAATGTTTGCAGCAGTATTTTGCTTTTCTCTTTTTTTTTTTAAAGGGTCATAAACAAACATGCGTTTCTGCTGTTGAGCTCTGCAATGAGAAGAAGAGGAGGGCAGTGTGTGTGTGAGTGTGAGGAGTTGCTTTGCTGACACAGAACTGGAGAGCGAGTGCCATGGTCCATAGCCCCAACTGTGTGTTTGTGGTTGGAAGTGAGATTGAAAAAAAACTAGATGGCGTCCAGACATCCTTTCCCATGCTTTGATACGCATATCTTTGACCAAATGTATGCACACATCTGGGAGGGCAAACTGTACCCCAGTGAGAAGACCCGCCCATAACAAGATGTATAGAATCCGAACTGTGCCAAGTTACCTTTTTAAGAATGGGAAACAATTTATCTTGCAGGGAGTAAGACCCGTCAGTGCCTTCATTTATGTTTTTATTTCAAATGATATTTAAGAGGAAAGAAGTTTGACATTGATGACCATCGTGTATCTTTGCTAGTTGCTCTGTAAAGACTTCTCTCCTTGGCTGTCTTTTTATTGATTAAATCTCAGCACTTATTGCCAGAGTAATTAATATTTGCCTTTTTTAAATGCTCTACATTTGCCTTAACTTAAGTCTGCCAAGTAACCAAACAAATGTTATCATTTGATTTTCCCTTTTGTTTCGTCAAAGACAGGCAGAGGTATTCCTCTAGCAGTGCAGGACGCAGCACTACGGTTATTGGTGTTAACAGGAGCAGCGAACATAAACATTCCAGTACCGAGTGTTGACCTCTTGACCTCTAAACCCTGGAACTGCAGGGCTGGCAGCAGGAGACCACACACACATGGTGGGAGGAGGAGCGGGAAGGATGCAAAACGTCTCCGGTGTCCTCTCCTTAAAGAGCTTCAGATGCCTGCGCTGAACTGTGAAAAATTAGCCTATCCTCTTAAAATTAGGGCAGTCTTCCCCACACAGAGATTGTTGCAGGTATGTCAGAATATGGGAATGGCTTACTCAGATGGAGAAGTTAATCTGAGGGAAACACAGCTCCTGTATCTCATATCCCTTAAGTTGTTGAGTGCTCTTTTTTTAATATAGAGATTGTGTCATAGCCTCTTTGGGCTGGACTTGTTTAAATATTTCTGTCCTGGAACCACAATTGCTAAATCTGCAGGCTGAAAGTTGTTTTGTTCATTTTGCTATGAACCAACAAACATCCTCTTTCCTTACAAAGTAATGATTTCAAAATGTACTCTGCAATTACAAAATCAACTTTCACTTTGATTCTGCATCGAGCACGTAGCACTAAAATCTGAACATGAAGGAGTCATTTTAACCATAAGCAGAGACAATGATTCATCCCTTCATTTTCCATTCTTCCCTTCTGTCTGTGCAGTGCTCTGCTAACCCTGTCTCACTCCGCTGAGAAGAAGAGCGGTTCCATCAGCCATGTGGATCCCCAGGAGGTCTGGCCTGGCCTGCACTCAGCCATGACCACATCGTATGGGGCTGGGGGCTCTGCTGCGCTCTACTCCCTGAAATCTGCCAGGGGCCGCTTCCCTTCCAAGGCATGTCCACGGCTGGCTGAAACTGAAGGGCGGTGAGCACTCTATATTCCCCCACACATGTTACACTTCTCCACACACCCATACCTATAATGCACTGTGAAACCAATACTTTCACACACATCGTTTTTATCCAATTGTTGATTAAATACAATTTCAAACATCAGACGGGGGGGGGGGGGGGTTACCGTGGTTACCGTGGTTGGTTATTGGCTAATGGTTACACAAGCCAAAAAATCGTTATGACATCATAAAGTGGCCAAAATCTGATCAGCTCATTTTCAGACAGGTTTTTATAAATGGATCAGGACAAAAAGTGAGTGAGTCTTTTTTCCTGAAACTTTCAGAATCTCTTTACACAGAGGGGACACATGATTATGTATAAAATACATGAAAAAGTGGATGTTGCGTGATAGGTGACCTTTAAAGGATTTCAAAATGTCACACAGTTTGTGTCCGTCCATCCCTGAAATGTACCAGTGAACCCAGGATTGAAAGAGGTTTAAGATGTTGATCACACAGTAGGGCTACATCCTTGCCAACATAGATTTGGCGCCGTCTCAACAGAGGCTGTATGTCCACACAATGCCCTCCTTGTTTAATAGCAGACATGGCATGCCAACTGTGAAGCAACATACTCTGAAGCTGACCAGGAAGTGAGGGATCAAAAAGGGTCAGTTCATATAGGCCCGCTTTAAACTTTGACCTTCCAGTCCTTCTACAACTTAATCCTCCGTCTATCCGTGACATAATGAGTGATACCAGTGCCACTCATTCACTGCAGAGGCAGAAAGAACTGAAGGACAACCTAACAGATTGATGCCTGATGATAAACAGGAAATACGTGGATCATTTTGTCTAACTTACTTTCTCTATTTAGCATCTCTTTTCTTCTGCAATCCAAAGTTATTTTTTAATATGTTTTAGCCTTGCATGTAGAAAGTACATAAACTAAACTAATTTCACATTGAAGTTATTTTACATAGTTAAAAAATACTTTAATTGAAAGTGTTAGTGGGCGGATATTAGATTGGGAGTTGAAAGCTACTTGCTCTTATACGCAAGTGACAAAGAGGACACCAAGTTATGCAACCCGATAGCAATGACATCACCTCAAAATACTTCTGACTTCTATATTAAGGGGTATTTAAACTGTTCCTCCTTCACTGACTTCATACTTGGTTGGGTGTGATGAGGGGCTGTGTTCAGGCCGCTGAGCATTCCTCTGTTAGTTTTATAAAACACAGTCTCCCCTGTTCACATGAGCTTAACCTCAGTGATTTCATAGTGCACCTGTTAATATCAGCTCTGGCAGAGCCAATCAGACGGACTTTCCATTACAGTCTATCACCTTCCAGTTTTCAACTTCATACGCAACCTCCACTGGTGGAAGCACTCCAGTAGTTTAAAGGCTCATTCAATTCCCTCAAATCTCGATAGCATCATAAATCAGGGTGTGTGTGTGAAGATAGAAAACAACACTAGGGTAAGGAATCCCAGCGCTG